ATTTAGAGCTCTGATGTTTGGTGCATATATGTATTTATAATTGCTAGGTCTTATTGGTGAATTAATCTTTTTATCATTATAGAATGTTGTTCTTTTGTCTCTTGTAACATTGTAGACTTGGTCTATTTTGTCTGATTTAGTGTAGCTAACCCTGTTCTCTTTCGGTTGCTATATGTGTGGGACATTTCTTTCCACTCTTACTTTCAACTTGTGTGTCCTTAGATCTACATTGAGTCTCTTGTAAACAGCATATAATTGGATCCAGGTTTTTAATCCATTCTGTCATTGTCTTTTGGTTGGGGCATTTAATCCATTTACATTTAAGGTAATTACTGATAAAGACACAGTATTGCCATTTTGTTTTCTGTATGTTATAGCTTCTTTGTCCTTCATTTCTTTCCTCACTTTTTTTTAAATTTTATATTATAGTGGTATGTTTCAGTTTCCTTCTTATTTCCTTTGGTGTATATTCAGTATTTTCTTTGTGGTTACCACGGGGATTACATGAAATATGCTAAAGTTAAAACAATTTATTTTAAACTGATAAAAACTTCAATTGCATATAAAAACTCCTTTACAACACTACCCTCTTCCTCCTGTGTTACTGATATCACACATTATGTCTTTACAAACCAGTTGTTTTTTTTTTTTTTTTTTTTTTTTTGGAGACAGAGCCTTTTTTTTTTCCCCAAGCTGGAATGCAGTGGTGCAATCTTGGCTCACTGCAACTTTGGCCTCCTGGGTTCAAGCAATTCTTGTGCCTCAACCTCCCGAGTAGCTTGAATTACAGATGCTCCCCACTATGCCCAGCTAATTTTTGTATTTTTAGTAGAGATGGGATTTTGCCATGTTGGCCAGGCTGGTCTTGAACACGTGACCTCAAGTGTTTTGCTTGTCTGGGCCTCCTGAATTGCTGGCATTACAAACATGAGCCACTGTACCTGGCACAAACCAAATTTTAATACAAGTTTCGATATTCTTTGCCAGAGAACTTTATATTTTCACATGGCTTTGAGTTACTAGTGTCCTTTTGTTTCAACTTGAAAGATTCCTTTTAGTATTTCTGTAGGGCAAATCTAATGGTAAAACTCCTTTGACTTTTTTTTTTTTTTAATCTGAGAACTTCTTTGTTTTTGAAGGACAGTTTTGCAGGACATATGACAAGTGTTTTTTTGTTTTTTGTTTTTTTTTTTTTAGATGGAGTCTTGCACTGTTGCCCGGGCTGTAGTGCAGTGGCATGATGTTGGCTCATTGCAATCTCAACCTCCTAAGTTCAAGCAGTTCTCCTGCCTCAGCCTCCTGAGTAGCTGGGACTACAGGTGTGTGCCACCATGCCCAGCTAATTTTTTTTAATTTTTAGTAGAGACGGAGTTTCACCATGTTGGCCAGGATGGTCTAAATCTCCTGACATGGTGATCCGCCTGCCTCCACCTTCCAAAGTGCTGGGATTACAGGTGTGAGCCACCGTGCCCAGCCAAGCGTTTCCTTTTTTAAGCTCTCTGCCCTTTTTCTCTTCTGGGACTCCCATAATACCTATATTGGTCTGCTTGGTGTAGTCAAATCTCTTAAGCTAGTCCCTTCTTTTTTTCCTCTTCAGGCTTTTCAAATTTTAATTTAGTTTTATAGAGATGGGAGTCTCACCATGTTGCCTAGGTTGGTCTTGAACTCCTAGACTCAGGCAGTCCTCCCACCTTGGCCTCCCAAAGTTTTGGGATTACAGGCAAGCCACCATGTCTGGCCTGCTCTTCAGACTTGATAACTTCAAATGCTCTGTCTTCAAGTTTCCTGATTCTTTCCTCTGCCTGTTTGAGTCTGCTGTGAAATCCCGCTAGTGATTCCTACTTCCCCTCTCCCCATTCAGTTACTCCGTTTTTCAGCTCCAGAATGTTTGGATTTAGAAATAATTTTCTTTGTTGATATTCTCACTTGTTCATATAATTGCCTAATTTTACTTGTCCACATTCTCCTTTAGCTCATTGAGGATATTTCACAGTTGTTCTTAAGTTTTTATAGAGTAAGTCAGTAGCCTCTGTTTTTTTTTTGTTTGTTTGTTTTTTAGACTTAGTCTTGCTCTGTTGCCAGACTGGAGTGCAGTGGGGCAATTTTGGCTCACTCCAATCTCTGGCTCCCGGGTTTCAAGCGATTCTCCTGCTGGGACTACAGGCATGTGCCACCACACCCAGCTAATTTTTGTATTTGTTTAGTAGAGACGGGATCTCACCATGTTTACCAGGATGGTCTTGATGTATTGACCCTGTGATCTGCCCACCTTGGCCTCCCAAAGTGATGGGATTACAGGCGTGAGCCAGCGCGCCTGGCCGCCTCTGTTTCTTTAGAGTTGATTTGTGGAGATTTGTTTCTTTCAGTCGTCTGTGTTTCCCTATTTCTTTATGTGCCTTGTGGTCTTTTGTGAAATTCAGGCATTCGTAAAACCAGCCACCTGTCCCCTTGCAGACTGGCTCCATGCATGGAAAGGCCTTCACTGATTAGCCCACCTTAAAGGCTTGGTGTCCTCTCAGACTTTTTCGAGGGATGCATCTTCCCTGGGCCTGTGCATATGCATTAGTTCTAGTTTCCTCCTATACACAGCTGCCTTTCAGTTTTTCTTAGTTTTCCTGAGTTTGACTCCGGCCTCCTCTTGTAGCCTTAGCTGTTCTGTTTTATTCCTCTGCCTGTGATTGCTTGCACACAGGTTTCTGAAGGTCTGTGTTTGCCTGTAGCTCATTCATTCCATGGTACTCTATCATTGCTTTCAGCTGTTTCCGACCTCCTGTCCAAACTATGCCATTATTCCCATTAACATTCTGATTCAGGCAAGACAGAAAGCAGTCCCTTGGGCACGTCCACATAAGCCAGAACATTGCAGGCCAGTTCTTTATGTCCTGAGGGAAGAGCCAGGGTAGTTTTCTTCTGACTGTATTGCACTGTGGAGGGAGTGTGGCAAGAGTGAGCAAAAATGCCATGAAATTTCCTGCTACTTTGAGCGTGGCTTTTTCTTGGATAGGTGGTTCCTTTGGTTGCTGCTCAACTGGTTTCTAGAGTTCTCATAAAGCTAAACAGTTTTTAATTTCATTATCTTGTGGGGGTTTGGGGGCCTGGGACTTCACAGTCTGTTGTCTTGCTGACATATTACTTTGTATGTTCAAAATCATTTTTACAGGTTATGCTGTTAGTTGCTAGATTGGTATTATGCATGTTACACTTTGAGAAGTCACTTTTAAAAAGTATTTATGACAGTATAGTTTGTTAGGCGAGTGTTAACGAGTGACTAGCTGAACTTCCATAGATCCTGGTTTGGTCTGTTGTATCCACAAGATCTTTATGCCTCATGGACAGTGTGAATTAAAGTTCTATGTCTAGAAAAGGACTGACTGGTGTGCTGATGAAAAGGTCATCTACTAAATTGACTTGATAGCATGTATGAAGTACCTGATGAGACTTCCTAGTCTGGAATCTTACGTGTAGATTTAACTTCATTCAAGCCCAACAGAAAAGAAAAATGTAAAGTTTCTATTTGCCACTTCATTCTGGGTTTATGGCCTGTAAATGAGTGTGCTGTGACTCGGAGAATGTGAATCTGCTATTTTGTCAGGCTGTTCCTAAATATTTCAGTTGCACTATATATGGGGGTTACAGCCCAATAAACCTTTTATGTTGAGAATATCATGTCAAAAATGCATTTAAGACCCCCAAAAGCCCATTATAGAGTCAAAAAATTGTAAGTCAAACCATCATAAGTTGGGTACCATGTGTATTAAGGAAAAAAGATCAAGAAAATATTAATGGCTGTTTATAATCTTAACATTATCTGCTTTAACTTTGAAATTTTCAGAATTTACAGTGAGCATGCATTTTATAATCAGAAGATGTTAATAGGCTAACTTAAAATTTGTTAGATATTTACCATTATTATTTTTAAGATTATGTTTAAAAACCTATGAGAGCAGATTTGGAGATAGGAACATAAATATTGCTTGGAACAGAAACAGTATGTGGCTATAAGAGGGAATGGGGGTGGGGGTAGAATTGAGAAGGAAAAAAGCAGAATTTGTTAAATGAAAGCGAGAAATCAGAGTAAGATGTGGTATGCCCAAAATGGAAGAGATGCTATTCAGAGTGGTCAGGGAGCTTAAAGGAGAGTGAACTTGGAGTCTAGGTGGCCTGAACTGTGGTTTTTCTGTGGCTGAGGGTGAGTGACCGAGCTAAGACATCTACTAGTAGGAATAGACCTCAGTTGATCCTCAAAGATGGTAGATGTTGAGAGAATGTTTATCATTAACTTAGCCTTTGTGTTTCTCTTCACAGAATTTCTTCAGGTTGAATTACCTAGAAGTTTGTCACTGACTCGGGTTCCTGAACTATGACACATGAATATGTGGGCTAAGAAATAGTTTCTCTTGATGAATAAACAATTAACAAATACTTTGGACAGTAAGTCTCTCAGTTCTTAATGACAATGCAGGGCACTTTAATAGCATCAGAATTGGTTTGGGATTTAACTGTTGATAAAGCTAACTTGATTTCTGTGTTCTTTAAAATTTCATTGGTCTAGCACCTCTTTAACTGCAATAGTTTGCCTGTTTCATTGAGATACTCCTAGGTGCAGTAACTTGGTCCTGGGCCATGGATTAAAGTGTTCTTCATGAACCTATAAGACTACTGTGGGCTCTAAGAAGAGACGGAATCCTAATAAAATCTATCCTTGGCCTTCATTGCCACTATTTGGTAGCTGTGCCACCACCAGATAGATGAAATAGGTAATTCAAATGTAGGGTTTCTTACTCAGTATTTCTTTATTAATAACAAGCTAACAGTACGTAACAGAATTTGGATATATATCTAATCCAGAAAAAGTTACTTAACTAGAATTGAATGTCTGCTAATGACTAGCAGAGTATGGTACTTTTTCACAGGTGGTCTTAGGACATTAATTCATGCTTATTTGCAAGCAAAGTGATACTGGAGAGGTTGGAAAAAAAGACGCTTATTTTATTCAAAGCTAATTTAATCAGTCACTTTATTAAGATAACAAAACCTATGTATTACCCTTTTTAACTTGTGTAAAATTCACAGTGATGTGAGCTATATTAAACTCGGGTATTAGTGAAAATTGGCATTGTAAAACCTGTTGGTAACAGTAGACATCTGTAGGTGGCCAGTAATTCAAGGATACCTTTTATTTTAAACAATCGTTCATATCAATATGCAAAATTACCATAAGATACAAGGATTAATATTTATTTACATTTTTAAAAATAGTTACTCTTGAGGTTGACAACTGTCACTTTCCTAAATGAGTATTACAGAACAAACTGAAAGAGCCGTTTTTCATAGTCAGAATTGTTCATTAAACCTTGCTTTCCAGGAACAATTACAGAGTGACTTCTTAGCCCAACATGTGAGATTTAAAGATCAGAGGTTATTGGGCATGATGGCTCACACCTGTCATCTCAGCAGTTTGGGAGGCAGAGGCAGAGGAGTGCTTGAACTCAGGAGTATGAGACCACCAGCCTGGGCAACAGAGTGAGACCTCATCTCTAGAAAAAAATTTAAAAATCAGCCAGGTATGGTGGTGTATACCTGTGGTGGTGGTGTAGTCCCAACTGCTTGGGAGGCTGGAGTGAGATCACTTAAGTCCAGGAAGTGAGCTTGAGCTGCAGTGAGCCATGATTGTTCCATTGTACTCTAGCCTGGGTGACAGAATGAGACCCTGTCTCCAAAAAAAAAAAAAAAAAAAAAACCAATAATGGGCATTTAAAATTGCATTCTCTTAGCATCTCAAAATTGTAGGTAACAAGCTGCAGACCCAAGTTTAAATGTAATCAGTAAACATGTTCTAAGTTACCGGACGATTTACTGAACATTTAAGATATCTGATGACCCAAGATCTTGAGTCAAACCCATTCTTAGGTGCAAAATATTAGACACTGGGAATATCTTAATGTTTTGTCAAGTCAATTCCACAGAGTAACGATCTGGACTGGTATTGTTAGCATTAATATTGGGGTTCTTGTGTGCTCCACAGTGTACCAGGGAGTTCCCATGATGTATGTTTTGTTTATGGAACCAGGCAAACTCACTTGAGCACTTTGGGACTGGATTCAATAAAGGACAAAAGATTTACTCAAAGTTTGCTTAGTCAAACACAAACTGGAAAAACACTTTTTCTAAAATGCACCTGGACAGTAATGATAGTGTTTTGTAAATTTTAGTAAAATGCAGACTTCAGAGGAAATATACATAGCAGCTTTCAGTAAAAGAATAGCATTGCAGTTAAGTGACAAATATCACAAGCCACAAAGTCCTAAGCATTTCATTTAAAGAATCCTAGGCCTTTGCAGACAAAGGAGCATGAGGCCAAGGTGGTGACTCAGCACAAAAACAGATGCAGCTTGAGGTTTTAACTTTGGTTCTCCACTCTAAGGCCTGGTCACATTCTGTGATGGAACAGTGTTAACAGATCCAAATTATAGTAGAAATTTTTGCAAGTGTCATAGAACAACAACAAAAAAATGCATCTTCTATATGTGGTAAGAACATAAAGGGCCCTGTTAATCATTGTCTCCAAGTGGGAAAGGAGCATTTTTTTTTTTTTTTTTTTGGTCACCTTGAAGTGTCTTTTAAAGGTAAGGATCTAAATACTAAACGAAACTGTGACGCTATAAGAAACTGTTGGCCTTGTGTCCATACTGGATGTTAAAGCTGATGAAGCTTTTTTAAAAAATGGCAGCCCTGTATGGTGGCATGTGCCTGCAGTCCCAGCTGCTTGTGGGTTGAGGTGGGAAGATTGCTTGAACCCCAGAATTTGAGATCAGCATGGGCAAACAGTGAGACCCTGTCTCAAACCCAAAAACTAAATCACACAAGCAGGAATCAATCAGCATCTCAGAGGGGACTCAAGGAAACCCTTTCCTCAGGGCTTTATTTTTCACCATGGTAAATTTACTAATGAAGACCTGAGCGAAATGCGGATCAACCAAGTAATGGTATGTTTTAACAGTGGAGGGGGGAGGTTCTGCAGCCACCACAGGGCATGGTGTTAGCATGGAGGAGCAGCTGGGGGCCAGATGACAAGATGTCTTTGTGATATAGTCCACAAGTCTGTTGTACTGTTGCTCTGACAGTCTCTCTCGGACTCCGTCTACCTAGGATCCAAAAATAAAGATTAATCAATTACTAGACCCTTATGAGAGTTCCGGAACAAAATAATTGTTTTTTTGCCTTGATGAAGTTGTACATTATGCCTTTTAGGTCATCTATTAACGCCATTACCAAAACAATGTTTCCATTTTTTCTCTCAGATAAGGCAATGATAATGCAGTTTTAGCAGTATAACAAAAGCTGTACATGAGACTATCAGTACAGCCTCCTTTGAATAAGCATTTAGTGTTGCGTAAAATTCCCATGTTTGAAACCTTATGATTTGATAACATTCTGCTCATTAATTATTACAACATTTGTCATTGCTCTTTAGCAACCAGCCCAAGAAAAAAAAAATCTTTCCTCTGCATAAATCTAATCAACATTAAACTCAGCACTGAAATAAAAGCTCTGTTTGCCTGGCTCCCCAAACCTCTTCAGATATAGAAGGTCTTAAAGTGGAGAACACCACTTCTTTCAAACCAGTGGCTTTGGACAGAGCATTAAAAAAAATACCATTTGAACTGTAACATTTTCTGATTTTATAAAAGTCCTAGGATTTAAAGCCAGAAAAAATAGAAAAACTGGGCAGTGGAAGGGGAAATTTTTATGGAAAATAGGATGCGAAGTACATTTATGGTTCATAAAAGTCTGGCTCATCTTCAGTGAAACACAAATAGAACTGAGATATACTAGGTTCTTCAGTGAGATTTTCTGAGAAAGCGCTCATCAAAGGCAGTTGAAGCTATAAATTCTTCCCACCCTGAAGTCTGATGGGTATCTAGTGGGTAGATCAAGTGGAGTTGGAAGTTTGCAGTTGTAAGCCACTGATTTGTGAAACTCAGGTAGCCACCAAACTTTCCTTGGATTTTTGCCTACTGAACGTTGGCAAGATTACTCTAGAAAAAGTGGTAATGTAAAGACTTTCTAGTTCTGTGTGTGTGGCCCAGAGATAATGCAATCAAAGTGTCTTAAAAGCTGGAGAAAGCCCTTGTGACAGCAGAGATATAGTAAAGGGGTTTGCTAAAGGAATAAGCAGGGAATCCCTTAGAGTTTGGATCCTGTGGTGTTAAGCTTGGGGAAAAGTCCCAAAAGATTCACTAACAGATGAAAGCTGTGCACCACCAGGCAAAAGCCAGAGCTCTGATATCATTTGATGGGGCCAGAATTCAGCTGGAAAGCTTTGAATACACAAAGATTTAATTGCTCCTCCTGAACAGCAGCACAGGAAAACCCGTGTTGTGAAAGGAACCCAGCCAAGGAATAAATTGACCTTCTGACTCATTCTGAGCCTCTCATAAGGGATTTCAATAATGTGCCAGGCATATTAAGCAATTATTACCCCTAAACTGGTTTCATTTAACCAAGAAAAGCAAATGCTGATTTAAAAAAAATTTCAATCCTGCCATACTTAAATGTACCACATGATGTCATCTACAAATTAATTCCTTCCAAAATTCAAAGGAGCTGTGTTTCCTAGCATCTCGGGCAAAAGCTAAAAAACAGAAAAGTTGTTATACAAAGATCTTAAAATACTGCTTTTAGTCTTCACTGGAAGTGTTCAGAGCAGACAGGCTTCCTTATGTCTGTGGATTATGTTGGGATGCACTAAGAGCCAGGCAGCTTAAGAAAGATCACTGACAAGGCAGTACTGCTGGCCACCCTCCCCTGCCCACTCATTTGAAAATACCTTGGATTACAGCACTTGGGAGGGTTTAGTCTCAGATGCTCTGCAGCATGAGTTTTCGTGGGGGTGGGTAGGAGAGGTTAGGTTATAGACACAGGATTAAGGGAACAGTTACTCCTATTTATGACTTAAGGAGAGAAGTAAAGTGGAATAGAGAAAGCAGAATGTGGAGGCTTAAGGCACACTGGCCCATCCACCTTCTGGCCAGTACCCAGCTTTGGCTGTGTGGGCACAGTGCTTCTGCCCTCAGTCATGTCTTCCCACCTCTGTTTTAGGCCTTCCTTAATACCAACCCTCTTTTAGCCCTGGATACCAGTGGAAAATCAGTGTTAAAAATCGTATCCAGAGCTTTAGTGCTGCTTCCTCTGATGCCACAGTCCCAATAATCTTGGCAACTTTTAGGTGTGGTGACTTCAGATATGACCTCAATAACCCCTAGAGAAACTGAGGTCTGTTCCCCTCTAGCTATGATGATTCTCCACAGTACCTGCCTCAAACACAAAAGAGAAAGATCACAGTTGAAGACAGAGACAGTTCAATGGCAAAAGAATCTCCAGTCTCAAAAGATCTGAAATATTTCCCAAGCAGCTAAGGATGAATGATGGCCACAGGGCCTTGGAGGTTTCTCATTAAGGACTAAAGACTTGACGGTAATGATATCCCTTGCCAAATCCTGTAGCCAGATCACCGCTGCTTTATTGTCAACTGATCAGAAGATTTTGGCAGATCTAGTAAAGTCAGCCTGGACATCTGACCTCTGTTTATTCCCAGAAAGTCATCAACTCGAAGCAGCAATGTAGTCCTGGTGCCAAACCCTAGCTTAAAGCCTGACTATGATCATGATCCAAGAAACTAGAGAAATCTTAAGAGTTGTTGTGGTTGGCCACTTTCCATCTTCTCAGATAATTTTACTCAAACAGTGGTGTGAGGGAGACAGGCTCCCATCCCAGGAAGAGGATAATGAAAGAAGGGATCAGGCAGGATCTGCTGGAGGCAGGTTTGCTGTCCTTTGCTGAGGCCACTCAATCCCCAGGTTAGGGTCAGCAGACTCTAGTTTGCCACTGATCCACCACTGTCTTGCTATGTGAGAAAAGACGTCTGTTTTTAGGTAAATAATTAGGGTCTTACGGATCAGGCCATCATCCGGGAAGGAAGGGCAAAGAGCAGTTTTCTATTAGGTGCACCTGTTTACCCTGGGTTGGACTACAGGAAGCTGAGGTCTTTCTGGTCAGAGCTCACCTCTGACTCCTGACACCCAGTATGCCTTGCCTGAGCATCGTTCCACATTAATTTGTGCATGCCAGAAGCCAGCCACAGAGCTGCCCCAAGAGCCTAAGTGTCATCCCCAGGGGTAACTCTCTGGTAGTTAAGGGCTGGGAAACTATCCTGTGGGAAAGACAACAGCCAGAGAAAACCAGTGGATTTGAAAGACAGACCGACTCCAAAATGTTGATCCTTGAAGTCTCCAGGTTGGGGGGTATGGGAGGGAGTGGAGAGTCTTGTTTCATGATGCCCCTTGCTTCTGCAGTGGGCCTCTCCAGCATCCACAGACCTCCTGCAGCCAGTTGCAGGCCTCAGGCAGCCAAGGACCTGACTTTAGGCTTTCAGATCAGTGGCCTCCTTTGTGGAGTAGTTGCCTGGAATTGCTGCCCCAATCCTGGCCCTTCCTATACCGACCCACTCGTTTTGGAACTTCATTATCATGTCCTGTCCATTGAGCACCCCAGCCCCATGACGGCCAAGTCAGATCAGCCTCATTCAATTCACATGGTGACTTAGCCCCAGACCTTGAGTTCTGCTGGCTGCCTGCGGGGCTCTCCATGTGCACCTCTGGGTGGGGGCTTCCCAGTGCCCTTTTGTAGTGGCCTTCTGGCCTCCACACTCCCACCTCTGGGTAACAGCTCTCCTTGGTCTCCAGCAGCTACCCAGAGGCTGTAGCTCATAAATGCCTGGGTACCATAATCAGCCTGCTTCTCAACCTCCCTGGCAGCTAGTCTTGGTCGCCTTGTTTTCTGAAACATACCTCCACATCACAAGCCACTCTTGGCTGCTTGAGCTGCACTGTGAGTAGATTGTTCTGTTTGCTGTCCTGTGCACAGTCGATCTCTGTGATGGGGAAGGCCTGCTGCTGTGTGTCCTCACTGACACTCACCACGAAGAGCACTTCTGATGTCAGCAGCAAGCACCCTTCATGCTCCTGGCCTGAGCCCCTCACCAGAACCACATCCAGGGCCATGTGTACTTCTGGTCTGCCCAGAGACTGAAGCATTTTCCTGTTTAAAAGGAGAAAAGTGAGGCCAGGGGACAGATTTGAAAAGATGGTCACTTATCAGTGCTCATTATTTACCAATGGATGGGGCAACACCATAGAAAGCTCCCCAAGGGCAAAGGGCCCTCATCAATTATTCATTTTAGCTTGAAATGTAGTTGTCAACTGATTCTGGCTAACAAAACCAGCTTCCTCCTGGGAACAAAGATTGGCTTTGCCTAACTCCTTTTCTTCCCATTAGAAATGACACCTCTAATTAGAGTGCTGGTTCCACAGGGAATCTTAGGCCCTCTAGCAAGACTGGGCTTCTCTGCCAATGTGTGACCTTCCTTGAGTGGTCATGTATGGAGTAGAGGAGTTGTGCAGCCAGCCCCAAACCTGGGAACAGCAGCCTCTTCCTGTCCCTCTACAGTGCACTTGTGCCTGAGATACCAGTGCCAACAATGGCCACTCCTGGGCTCCCTGGAAGCGTGGCTCATTATCTTGAGAGCAAGCCAGGAGCTATTAACATACAGTATGGATGTAAAGTTGAGCAAGTGTCTCAATAATTTTACCAGACATATTTGACATGGCTGTTTGGAGCCTGGTCAGCATGTAGATCACTTGGCTGATAGCGCTGTTTGGGAAGTTGAGAAAGTCCAGCTCCATGTAAAATACCTGTGGTAAGAGAAGTAAGAGAGTTTTACTAGTTTTCTGGAAAACAGTTTCATGCTGCAATGATGTCATCTGCTCAGAGCCATCCATAAAACGTTACAGATCCAAAATGATGTCACATCTTTGGAAGCAAGTGTATAGATAATCTTTAAATATTACAATGCTCTTAACCTTGGTGATCTTGCATTAGTAACAAACTAAAATATGAATGTTACAGTCCAAGCATAGACTAGCAATTAGAGGAAGCAAAAATGCTCCTGAGAGAGGCTGGTCATGAGCAATAGCTTAGACATCATTTGTAATTGATGTGTTAAGAAAAGTCTAGATAGGTCAGTCTGGTATGGTGGCTTATGCCTTAATCCCAGAAGTTTGGGAGGTCAAATCAAGGTGGGAGGATTGCTTGAGTCGAGGAGTTAAGAGACCAGCCTGGGAAACAAAAGTGAGACCCCCATCTCTACAAAAAATAAATTAGCCAGGCATAGTGGTGCACGCCTGTAGTCCCAGCTACTCCAGAGGCTGAGGTGGGAGGATCACTTGAGCCCAGGAGTTGGAGGCTGCAGTGAGCTATGATTGTGCCACTGAATGCCAGCCTGGATGACAGCAAGACCCTGTGTCTTAAAAAATCTGTAGTCAACATGTTCTATTAGTAGGTCTCCTTATATCTCTTGTAAAAATAGATTAAAACCTCTAATGTTATGAAAAAAAAAAAAAAAAAAAAAGTCTAGATTGTTAGTTGACTTCCTTAATATTAATACTTCTTTATCTGTGCTAGGGCTAGTCAGAAAATAAACACAACACACACATAGATATATACAAAGGCACACCCTTTGCCTAGATACAGTATTTAAATGCTAAGTGACTTAATCTAGCCGTTAAACACGAATCCATATACATTTATGAGCATGCGTGGGGTCTCTGGTTTATGACATGCTCTCCCTGGTGCCAGCACCAAATGAGGGCACCCAGCAGCAGCCACACAGGCCTTTACAGAGACTCTGCAGAACCAGAGATGGTACAGCATGTATGCTTTCAGAGGGCTTGTAAATGTTTATAAACGAGGCATAGTCATTAGACTAAGAGTTAGTGGTTTGTAAAACCTTCAGTTTGGTAATAAAAGTTTTACAAGAGTGATAGAAACCAAAAAGGCCATGTGAAGCTCTGCTCTGAGATCCTCTTACATAAGGGAGCATTCCTCAGCCCTGGGAAACACGGTGAGGGACAATGGCATTTTCAAAACCAAAACAATTTATGAAGTATGACTTGACTTTACCTCACTGAGGTCTGCATCAAAAGGAATACTATTTTTATTCATATGTAAGCGCTTGATAAGGGAGAGTTTAACTTTTCCCACTTACAGGTTATAGCAAATCTTATTGTCAGTTTCCCTGTGAGTGAAAATGTCATTCACAGAAGGAGAGGGAAATGAGGGAGACGAGGGAAAGTGAAGAACATGTGCTGACATCTGTGTGGTCTCTTAAAGGATGCTTTCCGAATGGCTGCCTGAGGTATGGGCACTCATTCATCTCTACTCCCTTCCTTTCAGATGCTGTTTTTATGCCCTGATCTGGCTGCTGCTTGTCAGGCCTGCCTTGAAACATCCCATGGGCTTTATGGCCAGATGTGGATGCAGACACAGTGTGCTCACATGTCTGACAAACCAGAGGGCACTCCTGTGGTTTGTGATACTAGCTAGACAGCCTGCTTCATGACCAAAATGATGACACCAATTTTAGGTAAAATGGTAACACAGGTTTATGGAAAGTCACTTTAATGTATTCTGCCAAGAATGCTGAAAATGAGCCTGGGAGGAGGTGCTTCCTTTCACAGGCACCCACTACTCATGTGTGCACACCGTTGCATGGGGAGAGGCCCTGGCACACCCCATCCAAGTGCAAGTAGAGCCCTGCGCCCATGCACTCCACGGCTGTCTGCCTAGGGAAAGGGCTTTTAGTTGTAGATTCTTTGCTTCTGCTGGCCAGGGGACTCAGCCTGGCTGCAGGGAGCGGGATGGTGGTTTTATGGGTGAGAAGGCCACCCCAAACCCAAAGATCCATGTGCACATCCAAACTCTGTCTCATTCTCTACTGCTTCTTAAAGTTATCTTCCCACAACCTCTCTCTCCTTCCACATTTCTCATAGGAAAAAGTCATAATTCTTTTCTCTACTGTATTCTCCATTCTGCCCTCCACCTCTAAACTGGTCACTTTTCATCACAGTCTATCAAGTGTACTGGAAAAAGATTCTATGACATATGTAGACTGAAACTAGTAACTGGTTTCCCAATTCTACAGTTTAATTATTTTTTGTTAGTAGTAAAATTCTACTCTGTAAATAAGCATAGAGAGGTGAAAAAGCCACTAGTTTGCTACTCCTCTGCCGTGTGAAAGGTTACATTATCTTAGGAAACCCTTGGTATAATCATGCAAATCAGTAAAGTCTGGGTGGGCCTGACGGGTTTTCCACCGACTTACCATAGCCAGTCTGTGACACCAGCTCAGCGGCTCCTCCGATGGGCTTTGTGAACACCCCCATGATTCCTTTCCCCACACCTGAGATGACACCCTTGGCCTTGTGTCCTGCTGAAGCCTGTGCCTCAGATGTCTTCTGGAAGTTCTGCATCGGCTGATCAACGATACCAGCAATTGCACCTGGAACAACAAAAGCCCTCGGTAAGGACAGAGGCTTAAAATCCTCAGAAAAGGAAAGGCTCCATCTGGAACATAGTTTTATCTGGATTGAAAATGAGTCCCCACCCTCATTATAAAGGTTTTACTACCCATTTATTTACCAATTATCTACACTGAGGGCAGCAAACATTATCATCACCAAAATACAATGTTCAGACAGTTTGGTTCACACAGTGAGGATCTGTGAAGTTCAGTTCAGAATTTCACAAACCTGTCAGAAATGCAAAGTGTGGCCCATATATCTTTCCTCAGAAATCAGGCAACACAGTTTAGAGGGAGAAGCTAACAATTCCTGAGGAGCAGAGAAAGACTGTTCAGCCTAATACATTTGCACTGACTGATTCAGGAGGATGAAAAACCAGAAGGGGTTAGCCCCTTTTTAATGTTCCACTTTTAATAATAATCATAACAATCATAATAATTTAGTAGTATTAATAGATTAATACATAAGAGTAATTTGATATATTGATTATTTTGATTATAGGTAATCTATCTTGAATGCTTACGAGGTCTGGGGACCATGTTCAGGAGATTTTCCCAAGATCATACAGCTGTTAAGTGCACAGAGGGTCTGAGTCACAGCATAGCTCTTAACCACCAAGATATTCACTTACCCTGTTTATAAAACAGGCTCTTCCTCTTTGCCAATCTTGGAAAACCTTTCTCTCTCACTTGAATTGAGGTTTGGCCACTTACTCCTCCTTGAGAATAGCGACCAAAATACCCTTTGCAGCCCTGCTCCCACAGCCGCAGCACAGGACATTGCCTGCACTGAGCCTGAGGGTTACAGATGAAAGGAGCCCCTCAGGCAGTCCTGTGGCTACAGCCCCTTGCTCCTCCTACTTGGAGAGGCCAAACATGAGAGCTAAAAAAGCCTCACCATTCTGATTTTTTTCATGATGGAGTGGAGGGTTCCCTGACTGAGAAAGAAGGGAACATTTCTTTAAAATTCTTGACAGAATTCTCTGTTTTCAACTCAAAGCTGCTAGGATTGGTGAAAATGCTCCAGCTGTGCACATAACATCAATTGTAAAGGAAATGTTCTTCATGGACTCCATTCCTCTAGGTTTTCATAGAGCCATTTAAGTATATGCACTAACATTCAGAATGAGCTGAGGCGAGAGGCCTGTTTCCCAGCCTAGAGTTGTGCTGCCCAAACCATCTACAGAAACCACAAGGGTGAGCAGAGGAAGCTGCTCCCGGCGGGCCCAGACAGCCCCAGCTGTCAAGGGTGAGGGGCAGACAGCCAGGCCTGGCTTTGGCTGGGAGCGCCCCTCACTTGCCAGTGACACTCCATTCTCCATCTGGAAGATCGGAAGTCAGAATGGCCACACTGAGGGACAGGCAGGAACCCTGGGTCTTCTCTTCTAGTCACCTCAGCAGATTATCCAAATGAACAGCATCAAATCAGAGGGTGGAGTCACCCGCACAGGGCATTGATGGCCACCTGCTCCAGCACACACAGGTATTGGGTGAAGCCTCCTTTGTTCTGCTCTTCCACTTTCTCCAGCCACAGCGAAGGCTCCAGTTACTGTGGCTTTGACAGATACGACTGTTCGGGCAGCCCCCAAAGTGAAAAGCCTGAACCCCATGACAAGGTGTTAGATTCTGAGAGTCAGAGAGGGAGCTGTGGGACCACCTGCCCCAAGCTTAGCAGCAGACCCTTGAGGGGGAAAGCTGGCCTGTCACACACACCAACACCTCTCCGGCCACCAGGTGCCTTATCTCCCTCTGTGCTCACAAGCTGGAGAACAGAGAGGCCGGAAAAGCGCAGCCGCTTCATGGTCCGTGTAGCCCTGCTTTGAGAGAGGCAGCTTCTCATAGAGCCTGGAATAGCTCTTCTCTGAAGTATAATCCAGCTAAATCCCACAACTGGTAAATTATTGACTGTCATAGACTCAAACTCTGCTCGAAGGCTTTCAGGAGTGGAAACTGATCCCAAGACTTGCCTGCTGGCGTCAGGCCCGCGGGGTGGGCAGCCACATGGAGATGGCTGTGATCTGATGAAGCCAGTGAGGAGGGAAGAGCGTGCCTGGGAGGGGTTTCCAGGACTGAGTGAGTGCTGCATGTGGCACAACACAGAAGCGACTGCCTGTTGTGCCTTGGAAGAAAGAGGAGGGGGAGCAGGAAGAAGAGGAAGGCCTTCATTACGGAGTGGGAAACCATCAGGCCTTCCCTCGCCTCTTTCTGTCACTTGCTCCTAAGCCTTGGGCAGAACTTGGTCACTGAGCTCTGGAAGTTCCTGGTGATGTGGCTGTTTTGATGCTGCCTTTCCCATGTGGTGTAATTTTGTTTCTGGCATTTTTTTGGTCACACTATCAGAAACACAGGCATAAGATGGGATACCACGACACACCTCGCCATTCTGGAAAGAAACGAGACCCACAGAATATACTGCAACATTCCAGCTCGGCGCTGCTTTTTTGACCAGAACAGATGAGCAAACTGAAAAGGAAGCACTTTTGCCTGCTGTTCCTAAATTCCCCACTGACTGTAGTATACATCAGTCTGCTAATGGCAGACAGTGGTATTGGAGGGATGACTCTTACGTGCTGTCTCTTGGGATGTGCAACTCTTGAGTCACTCCCTCAGAGGGGACTTTTTTTTTCTTTTAACAATGTAAAGAGGTTTTTAAAAAATTGTATATATGTAACATTTGCCAAAATTATTTAAAGTCAATAAATTTTTATTCAAGGAATTCCATGTTGTGATATTTTCCACTGTTCAACAAGGTTACTTTAGATCCTCTAAAGAGCTGGAGTGAAAAGATTTCTTTTCAAGTTAGCCCTTTTTCATGAAACTGTTGCTTATTTTAATCCAGTTGTCCTGTCAGCCCATACTTCTTTTATTTTGGCTTCTGTCATCTCCTCTTAATATGGATATACTGATGAAGACTTCAAAATTCGTCAAGAATCACTGGGTCTAATTTCTTCAACCAATTTACTTTAGGGTCCTTTTTACTGTAGGTGGTGGATCTGCCTGGTTCTCAATTTGACACCCTCTCTTAACATATTCATCAAATCATATTAACTCCTAAGCGATCACACTCAAGAATAGTACAGGTTTGGAAATATGCCAATACCTTTAACTCCAGACATCCTGTTCTCAAGATAAAAGCCTTTAAAACAAAAAGCCATCTTATATATCAAGTCAACATGAAATTGGAATGCAAAAGTAATATTGCTGAGGATTTCCCTCATAACTGGAGGGGACTTTTCCGATTCACCTGATGGAGGCCTGTTTTGCTGGGATTCCAGATGGCATAGCCAAAAGTGGCCAAGAGAGGTGGGTTGGTCTCTGGGGAATCCAGCAGCACGTCACAAACCAGGAAGTGACCCAAAAGAAGCAGGGATCAGAGAAGCAATTCTTGACATCCTGGTTTTGGTGTTCATGAGAAAGTATCAGGTCTGGGAGGAAACACGGAATGCAGCTGTGATGCAGAGCTTCACGTCCATTCTCAGTGCAGGCTCCAGAGTGTAATAGAAAGTGAGGGTGTTTGGGGAACAAATCTGGTAGATGCAGGCAAGGCTGATGCCAATACTGCAGGCTAAACAGAATTTTTCCAAGAGCCAATGCTTTTGGAAAACTGTCATGGAGCTCATCCAAAAGGCTCTGTGGCATCTCTCAGCCAGCAGATACTTTTCCTTGCTGACCTGGGGCAATGCGGCTGGGCATATAGCTAAAGACTTCCTTCAATTTTCAAGAGCCTCATAATGCTCCACAGTGTCCCCGTGAGGGTGAAGCAGAGTCAAGAAGGCCCACCAAACCCATAAACATTGAGGGGAAATGTGTTTTTTCCTCTACTGGAACTTGTAATTGTTCAATCTCCCCACATCCTGATTATTTCCAGGCCTGGAGCCCCGCAGGGGTAGGTGACATGGTAGGAAGGCCCAGGCTTCTGTCCTTGCTGGAGGTTTGACCCGGCCAAGTCACTTCCCCTCATCCAAAGTGGTGAAGTTGTGAAGTTCTGTAGAGAACTGAAGATCGGAGACAGGGCAAGTCCTTTCAAGCTCATCTTTTCTACCCTTTGCTCTGCACTGCTTTGGGTCACTTTGATCTCTGGGAGGCACACATTCCCTCAGATGTGCAGAAGGCACATTGCCAAGCAATGCAGTTTTAAATTCCATTGCAAACAAATAAACAAAAAATATCCTTGAAAATCCTGCCCTGAAAACGTTTAGCTCTGAAGCTTCCTTTTTATAGATTTCTTTAAAGTAACTTATTTTCAAACATTTGTAATATTTTGAAATATCCATAGCAATCTTCACCTCTAACTATACCATCTGGCTGCTCTACAAACAATAATTGCTCTGAGTCAGGCTGATCTCAAAAAAGTAAAAGGACAAAGTGGGCTCTTCACTGAAGTTTACATGACACTTGCATGTTGCTCTAGTGCTTCTCAAGCAAAAGCAAGCATCTCAACATGTGTGGGAGTGAGGGAGCCAGTGCTTGAAAAGAGTTGCCCATCACGCTCTTCAGAAAGCAAACAGTCGGACACCGCTGTCCTCATGCAGACACCACTGCGCTCACAGGGGGTCCTATCAAATTAGGATTTCCTTTGAAGAACTTTAGTGAGGCCCAAGACACATTTCATACACAAAGCAAAGGCACTGCATGGGCAGCTGTGCAGGTGAGCCCCCGGCGGGACACACTGCAGGAGTCAGGGCAAGTGCCTTACCTTCTCTGAACGTTTCCCGGCCATCCCCAGGGAGAAGGTGAAGTTGCCCAATCCTGGGAGACCATGCACCTCAGCCTGCTGGAGTCAGACAGGCAGGAGGCCCCGCAGCCCCTTACCAAGCAGGCTGATGCCCAGCCTGGACAGGCCCTGTCGGAGCCCCTCGCCCAGGCTCTCGGGGAGCTGCCGCCGCCACTCCTCCTGCCGGTTGTAGTGCTCCTCATCCAGCGAGAGCCGGTCCATGTTCCGGGCCAGGCTTGTGGCCAGGTTGGTGATGGATGTGAGGGTACCTGAGGGAAAAAGGGCACAGGGTTGGCCTCCTTGTCACATATATCATGGACCCCAAGGCAGCAGTTTTGGAGGCAGCAGGAGCACTTGTGGCCCCTCCGGGACATGCACAGTGGTGGGTGATAGTGGTTCCCTTTCAGGCAATTTGATGCAAGAGCCTTAAGAAAAGAGGTAAACCACCGGGGCCGTGGCTCACGCCTGCAATCCTAGCACTTTGGGAGGCCAAGACAGGAGGATTGCTTGAGCCTAGCAGTTTGAGACCAGCCTGGGCCACATGGTAAAATCCCGTCTCTAAGAAAAGTCAGAAAATTAGCTGGGTGTGGTGGTGCACACCTGTAGTCTCAGCTACTCAGGAGGCTGAGGTGGGAGGATCGCTTGAGCCCAGGACATCAAGGCTGTGGTGAGCTGTGATCACACCACTGCACTCCAGCCTGGGTGACAGAGTGAGACCTTGTCTCAAATAAAACAAGTAAATAAAATAAAATAAGATAGAAAATGAGGCAAAGATGAACACTTGCCCACAGGGGTGATGACACTCTTCAAAGGGTAAGAATCTCAGGCTCTAGAAAGCAGCCTAGAGTTTCACATGAAGCTATCCTTCACTATAATTGTCAAGGTTTGGTTAAAACAGTATTTGGCTCACGCCTGTAATCCTGCACTTTGGGAGGCCAAGGCCGGCAGATTACCTGAGGTCAGGAGTTCAAGACCAGCCTGGCCAACATGGTGAAACTCTGTCTCTTCTAAAAATACAACAATTAGTTGGGTGTGGTGGTGCATGCCTGTAATCCCAGCTACTTGGGAGGCTGAGGCAGGAGAATTGCTTGAGCCCAGGAGACAGAGGTTGCAGTGAGCTGAGATCATGCTGCTGTGGTCCAGCCTGGCTGACAGAGCGAAACTCTGTCTCAAACAAAACAAAACAAAACAAAACAAAACAAAAAACACAAAACAAAACAAAACAAGACAAAACACCAGTTAGGACTGATGCCTTCACTGAAGCCCAATTTTGAAGGTTAAAATCTGCCTGTTCTGATTTTAAAGGGTAAGGTTATATTGTTGATTTTTAAAAAGATTATAAATATATCAATTTAGGAATATATTTTATTCCTTCTCTATAACTTCAGTCATAACAAAGGGAGATACTAAACCTTATTGCTTGCCATTCTGAGGATGTAATTATTGTGCCATGGAGAATATGTACAGTTTTGATAGGATGTTAACTAAAAAAAGAGGGGAATAAAGGGGGTAAATCATGTGAGAGCCATGAATCTGTCTGGTTTTCCTAAGAAAAGCTATTTTGGTATCTTGCTCACAACAGCCACAATTCCCTCTAGCAAGTCTGCACATCTTAGTGAGAGAAACTGAGTTGAGTTTCATGGACAGATCTGGACGCTAACAAACTAGCTCATCTGTTATTGCAGGTCCAGTTTCAGGAAGAAATGGTCAATGTCGTTTTTGCAGCTGCATCTTTACCAGTAATCAGAAAAGAAAAATATCTGTGTGCGCCATACATACAGATACCAACAAACTAAACAGATTTTGCTAAGAGAAGGCGAGAACAAGTGTAAAAAAAAACATTCAATGAGTCAGTATGCTGAAAATACCGCTGCAGTTCAATTTAGCAGGTGTTGGTTGTCTTATTTTAACATAAAAACAACAGAACCACAGAGATTCCAGTGTCAAGAGTGAGCGGTCTGCCAGTGACTCAACGGATGAGTTTCTGCAGCTCAGCCCCTAGGCCTCCCAGATGATTTGAGGCCTGGGGGAGTGTCCTTTTCATTGTCCGTGGAATTTGTTTTTATGACTCTGGCTGTTCTCTTGCCAGTCCCCCACCCATAGTCCCTCACCCCCTCTATGGATCACGGATTCTCATATTTCAAGCTCAAATCTTCTTTTGAGGCCTTCCAGAGACTTCCACAACCTGTCCTATGGCCTATGGTCAGATGCCTTTTATGGAGAAGAAGCCCTTTGCCCTGTTTTCCCTGCCTCCCGCTGAGAAGAAAAGGGGACTCAGATGGCCCTTGTTAGTTCCCAAGTCTCTGCCAACCTGACCAAAATAACATCAAGCAAACACACGGATAAAACTAAAACACTGTCCTTGCGGGAAGCGCTTTGGTTTCTGTGCCCGATGACCCATCTGGGCCACAAGATGGCACTGTTTACGTGGCGTGCTAGAGAAAAGTTGGCTGTTTCACCCCCAAATCCGCTTCCATGTCAGAATGTATTCATATCCTTAAGAAAGTTATGACAACTGTATCTACATTTAAAAAAATATGATGAGGCAACACAGTGTAGGGTTTCTGATGTTTAGCAGAAATCCTGAACATCTTTAATATTTCTGTATTTATCACATGGAATAACAATTGAGCCAATCCTTGTTCTCCCAATGGGAGGCTTAATATTCTGAAGTTTCTGAAACATTTTCACACACCACAGGCAAGTAGTGATCTGTTCAAAACATAAGACATTATATATGAGCTTTGTTGCAAATCCAAACTCTCACTGCAAGCTAACAGGCCAAACAAAGCCAGAGGCAATCTGAATGCATTTAAAACTTTAACACATTTAAAATAATAATAATAATAATAATAAAAGACAGGGAAGGAGTGAAGGCATTATTACAAGGAATGGAAACCACTACCTTTGGAGATGTGCTTTACAAATGATGTGGTCCCTCTGGAGACGCCACTCACAAAAGCTCCGGGGCCCCGGGTCAGCCCCTCATACGGAAGCCTGAAGAAGTCAGCGACCCCGTTCCCGATGCTTCTCACTAGGCTCACAGGGCTGCCAAGAATCTCCAGAGAGCCAACTACCCAGCCTGCAACAGACCAGAGGGAAGGGGTGATTGAAATCTCAAATGCAGAACTTTCAACATTTGTGAAAAAGTGACCCATTTTTCCTGCAATTTTTTTTCACACTAGAGTTGGGAAAGTAATCATTTCTTTGGAAGAAAATAAGGGAAATAAGTCATTCCTGGTGAATTCATAAATGGCAAACTTTCATACTTTATATAAATCAAAGTGATCCTCTGATGGCCCCACAAATGGCTTTAATATGACTGCCTTGACCAGCCTCCCATGTTCCTGCTGAGAGGGGTCCACATGCTGGGGACACACTCTGCCATCACCTGAGGAAGGGTGCTTTCTTGGGCTGCAGGTGTTTGCAGGTGGGAGGTTCTCTCTGAAGCCTCCCCAGGGCAGCAGAGGCACCAGGATAGGAGGAGATACCTGGTTGGGGGCAGCCAGATGCTCAGTGGGGTGTCGCAAAGGGGATGCTAACTTCTGACAAGGATGGAGGGGTTGTTTTTAATCTTTCCCAATCCTAATGAGTTGAGTGCTTCCCTTTGGAACATAGCTAGAGCCAGACAAATGTCTCCCCTTCAACTCCAGCTCCGATTATGTAAACACTAGTGACAGGGACACCTTTTTTTTTTTTTTTTTTTGCAGACAGACTCTCACTCTGTTGCCCAGGCTGGAGTGCAGTGGCGCAATCGCAGCTCACTACAACCTCTGAATCCCAGGTTCAAGCTCAGCTCACTGCAACCTCTGAATCCCAGGTTCAAGCAATTCTCCTGCCTCAGCCTCCCAAGTAGCTGGGATTACAGGCACATACCACCATGCCCAGCTGTCGTGTGTGTGTGTGTGTGTGTGTGTGTGTGTGTGTGTGTGTATTAGAGATGGGGATTCACCATGTTGGCCAAGCTGGCCTTGAACTCCGAGACAGGAACATTCTGATGAGGTTAGTGAGAGGGGAGTGTTCCCTGTGCATGTCCCAGGAGAGCAGCCTGGATCTGGTTCCTCCTGAAGCTTGGGCTGGCGAGGAGGTGGCTGCTGCTCTGCAGCTGCACCCCTTGGGAACGTGGCTGTGTGTGGAGTCCGGTGGGCAATACCCTTACTTGCTTCTCCGGGGTGGGGATTTGGGGCTGTAGACCCCAAGGACTGGAGAGGCAAGTGAGGACACAGGAGAGGAGGAGTCCAGAAAGATAGCTTTCTCCAGGAAGCCACTAATCTCCCCAGCCTGGTGCTCGGAGCCCTGTAATGGGAAGGGCATGGGGACAGGACTGGGTGGGAGCCATCCCTCCCTCACCAGCGGGCTCTGAAGCGGAGGACAATCCTGTGACAGAGACCCTCAGCTCAGGGATCTGCGGGGATCGGGAAGATGAAGGTACAAGAGCCAAGCCGAGGTCCTGAAGAATCCCATGCCCAGCCCATGTAGAGACGGACATTCTTACATTTGGAGCCCTCCTCCCTTCTCTGGAATGTTAGGATAGTAACACTAGGGTTTAGGGCAAAGCAGGGAATAATTTCTGGAAGATAAAGACTACAAATTAGAGGCTCTATGGATGCCAGGCATTCCACACGTTTAATTCTCACAGTAACTGCAAGAAAAGTATTCGCTCCCTTCAAATCAATGCAGGTTAGCTGGTGACTGAGCTGCTGCCTGGGTCCGGGAATGCGCGAGGCACAGGAGGCAGAGGGGAATGCGACATGGTGGTGCTGCTACCACGGCCTCACAGGCAGGCAAAGGGAGGCTGAGGCGTGGAGACTAAGCCACCTGCTCACCGTCTCCTGGATGATCAGCCTGTGGGCTGGGTTTCTAACACAGTTTTCCTGATTCTGAAGCCCACCCACCTCTTCCTTCTGTAAGCTCATGCTGCAAAGAGTCAGCAAGGGAGCTGGAGAGGCTGTGGAATATTCCTCCGTGGAAGGACTTCTCTACAGGTTAAGAAACAGCAGATTCCCTTTAGCATGGAATGGCTATAAGGGCAAACCTAAAGGCAGAAAGTTGGTCTAGAAACATCTTAATTCCCCTTCTCACCAATGAGTCTGTGCATAATAGAAAGGAGAGTAGCCATGGCCAAGCAGAGTCCCCCAAGACAGGCCTGTTCGGGTGGGTGCCGCGGGCACAGAGGGAGTGGGAATCCAGCCTCTCGCTCCCGCCAGCGGCAGGCCCTCCCCCGTCCTGTGGGCCACATGAAGGGTGGGATTGGAGCCCTGGAAGTCTGAAGCCACTGCCTGATGGAAGGGCTATGTGTAGGCCAGAGCTACACCTCAGTAGCATCTGAGCTGGCCAGAAAAGGGCAGACAGTATCCAGAAGTCCTCCTTTATTGTCCTCCAAAAGCGAATCTATCTTTTGCTCATGCGTTTGGAAATTGTGTTGGGGAAGGGGGTCTGCCTAGCTCCCATCACACTGAGACTTGGGGTTGGAGAGGGGCCTGGGGAAATGATAAAGGCCACATGCTTTCCTTCAGATAGGGTCAGTTACTAATTTCCAACTACTGTTTATTTGTATTTTTGTTTTTATTCTGCCTCTTTCACCCATAATTTTTTTTTCTTTTTAGTTGTTTCTTTATTTTTAAAACCTGTTCCAGTTGATACCACAACTTTCCTTGACCTAGAAATGAGGTCAGGGTGTTTTCCACTACAGGCAGGGGCCCTCTGACCCAGGTGAGATGTGGGTGGGCAGCTTGCCCCCCCTGCAGCCAGCCCTCCCCCTCCCCTTAGAAGGATGCTAACCTGGGAGTCTGGAGCCTCAGCAGCTTCCCATTTCCTACTCCTTCCATCACTGCTTTCTTTCAGATGGTCTTCAGATCGCCCATAGATTTTTAATGACTGTGTTTCCAACAGGCTCTGAAAACTTGGCCCACTGCATTAGAATCCCTAATCTTGGTATACAGTGAGATTAGAATGTCAGCTTAAGAGGATTTTTAGGTGAATTGTATAAAATTCAAATAGAATGTTCTTGTGAAAGCTCATTAAAAATATAAACCAAAACAAAGAGAGCTCGTTTTTAGCACATGGGCTGCAGGGACAGTTACTTGGTGCCACAGGTCAAGATTCCCTGCAGCTCACCGCACTGCAGCGTCGTGCAGAGACTGAATGGGAGCCATCGTCCTTGCCAGGCCTCAGACTGGAGCTCAGAAACCCACGTGCCTTCTTCTCACGTGAAAAGCAAAGGCTCCCTGAAGGGAAAGTTCCTGGAATTGTATATAAATATACCTATCTATTAAATTTGAAATGTGAACTGCTTATTTTAAATGAGTTTTTAGCATGAGGGAAACGCTTTCTTCGTTGTTGTGCAAGGTATCAAGACAGCAGGTCCCGCAGGACCCTTTCCCTGATCTTGTCATTATCTTTTATAAAAGAGTCTAGATAACCCTAGTAAGTCTATAAATTTCATTATGGAAAAAAATGTAATCTTACCAATATGGCAACAACACAGGTCCATTTACTGCTACAATCTTAATCTTATATGGGAATGCATTCACCAAGTACAACATTACAAAGAGGACAGAACAAAGGCTCTCTCCTCTGCGACTTTCAGAAAGTAAGATTTCCATGTTCTTTATTGGAAAGGGCTGACAAGACTAACTCTGGATGCTGTTCTTTGCTTGAATTCCTGGGAGCCCAATTATCAAACTAAAACTGCTTTAGAGTGAACTTGGCTCAGGAGCACACAGTGTGATGCCAATTACTGTAACATATCCTGAGATCACATGGTTCCCACCACTCAATCCTTATTTAGTTTTTGGGACAAGGTCTTACTCTGTCACCTCTGCTGGAGTGCAGTGGTGTGAGCATAGCTCACTGCAGCCTCGAAGTCCTGGGCTTGAGGAATCCTCCCACCTCTGCCTTCCTAATAGCTGGGACTACAGGTGCATGACACCACATCTGGGTAGTTTTTTTAACCTTAAGTTTTTGAAGAGATGAGGTTTCACAGTGTTGGCCAGGCTGGTCTTGAATTCCTGTGCTCAAGTGATCCACCTCAGCCTCCCAAAGTGCTGGGATTACAGGTGAGAGCCACTGCACCCGCTACCCACCAGTCAGTCTCTAGTCTACAGTAGTCCCTCTATGAAATTTTGTATGTATGTTCAAGCCACCCCTTACAGACGTTTCCAGCCAGACTGAAAAGGGAATCCTTACCTTTCTCACTGAGTCCCTGAGAAACAGCAGTCCTCGGCCTGCAAGAGGCCACTTGCCTGGCCCCAGAGAGTGGTAAGGCCAGATCAAGGGCCATTCCTTCTCTTTGAGCTCAGGTCTATGGAGAGGCCGAGACACCCACAGCTTTCCCTTTACCAGCTGTTTAGACAGGCAATGCAGCACTAGATAGATAGAGGGCTCAATGTGTGTCTTACGAGCACACAAATCCTCTGAATTTCTCACCTACTGCTATTCATGAACAGCAATGAAGAAAACTAATAAAACGAGAACTGGACTCCTTTGTAGGCCCAGGGACTGAAGACCTGGGCTAGTTTTCTTGGTTGCTCTAGTGTGCTAAGAAAGGGCTCTGTGCTTGCAAGGCGCTAAAAAAGTGTTTGCTAAACTGAACTAAAATTCTAAGTTATAAAACAGCTACTACTGCTGAATGTTTATTAAGTGCCAAGCAAAATGCTGGGTACCTCACATATTTTCAACTGTCCGCTCAGAAATCTTCAAAGCCATTTTATCGATGACAAAATGGAGACTCAGGAAGGTTCAATAACTTGCCCGAAGTCTTACACTTAACAGCGGCAGGCTCTAGATTTAGATCCAGTTCTGTGTAGCTGTAAAGCTCACGTATATCACCTCTAGCCAATGGCTTCCTTAGGTCTTGAAATGAGGTGCTACCCCAAAGCATGTCATTTCTACCCAGGCTCTAGCTCATCACAGACCCTCAGCTTGTGTCCTTACCTGCTCTAAAAAGGGCCCCAGCAGCATAGTGCATTGCCAGTGCGTGCACAAGCTGCCTTGCAGTGGTGAAGATGGGTCCTCTTTCAAACACCGAGAAGGAGAGAGGAGTGTGGTCCGAGGCTATGTACAGCTTAAGAGAAGCGTGGATACTGACAAGCAAATTCACCGGCTGGATCACCAGTTTCCGTAACTTCACAGGATTCACCAAGGCCCTGGCGTGCTGTGTGACCTGCACGGGCAACATCTGTTTATCCCTGGAGAGGTGCGTGGAGTGACCAGCCAACCCGCTGTTAGGAAGGTAAGTGTCAAACAAAGTCTTGATGTAATATACAAATGTGTCTTCCACATATAACCGAGCAGGTTTTAATTCAAAGCTGAACTCGTTAATATCACAGAGGATGCTCCTGCCTTCACTTAAGGTGATGCAAAGTTTGATAAAACATTTTTCCTTGTATTCTTCCAAGTCTTTGTTGGATATGAAGAGACTCTGAATTTTAGAACACTGAATGGGTTCTGCTTTTTCTCCCTGGCAGACTAAGACAGCAAAGTGGAAATTGGACTTGTTATAAAGCTGGTTGTCTAGCTGCAGGTCCCCACAGTAGATCTCTACACAGTAAAATTCAAACAATGGGGCCACAGGCTCTTCCCTAGGGAGGGGACCAGCCTCCGGGGCCATGCGAAGAAAAACATTGTCCAGTGTGAGTCTCAGAAGCTCAGCTGATGCTTTGTGGTGGCTGAGGTCATCAAACACTGCCAGGCTCAACTGAGTGATGAACATTTTGAATGTAACGATCTTCTCCAGGGCTCTAGAGGAGAAAGGGAAAAGAACATTAGTCTCCCCCACTGCCTTTTCTTTTTTCTTTCTTTTTAAATGACAGTTCCCTATTAAATACCTCCTGATGGGACATCAGATTCTCATAAGAAACAAGAACTTAATTTTCAGTACATTGTGTCTGGACAGAGCCAGTCACACTCCAACAGTATTGGGAAGTGTTCCCAATGGGACGATCACAGCTTCTTGTCATGTTTCTGTATGTTTCCCTTATCAACACCAGATTTTTACTACAACATCACTCTGGTCTTTGTGTACTGATTCTTTATCATGATGATCACAAGACAGAGATAATAAAATAACCAAGACTCCCTAAATTGAGAAAGTGATGCGGGCAGAAGAAAACTCAGCAGAAACTCTGGCCACAACTGTCCACCAACCACTCCTGAGTCCATGTTCAGCTTTTCCCCATCTCCAGTTCTGGGGGAAAACCACCCATGCTTCTGTCTTAGGTGAACCCCTCCAAAGTGCACCAAATCACTCTGCTGTCACCTACTCAAGGACATCCCACCAGCAACTCACCCCTGTCTTCCATCATCCTTTTCTTCATTACTAGCAGATTGTAAACATGCTGTCATTTCTCAGCTCAAAAAAATCCCTCTTCTGACTCTACTCTCCTTTAGCTACCACTCATTTTTCCGATCCTTTCTACATGGACGCTCTACAGTGTGTTCTATACACATTGTCTCCAGCTCCTCTCCTTCCCTGCTGTCTAAGGCTTGCTCCAAGCAGCCTTTTGTGCTCCTACCCCCAGCCTAACAAAACAACTCTTGTCAAGGTCACCAGTGACTTCCATTTGGTTACATCAAATGATGGACTTTTAGGTTTTTGCTTATTCGACCTACTAACAGCATGTGATATTGCTGACAACTCCCTCCTCCTGGAAATTCTTTATTTCCTGTCTTCTCTCAGCTCTTCTGCCTCTCTGAACACTCATCCTCATTTACCTATGCAGATCCCTCCTCCTCCCCTGACCTCTTAGAGTGCCTAAGGCTCAGTCCTTGGTCCTCTTCTCATCCCCATCTTCACTGACTTCCTTGGGGATCTCATTCAGTCTCACGACCTGAAATACCATCTATCTGTTGATGACTTTCAAAGCATATACTTGGCCTGGACCTCCCCTGAACTCAAATCTTGTGTATCTAACTGCCTAGCCACACAGTCACTTAGATGTCTATTATAACCAATCTCTTGATCTTACCTCCTGAGCCTGCAGATAGTCTCTCTCATCTTAGTTACTGGCAACTGTATCCTACCAGTTGCGCAGACTAAAAATGTGGGTGTCATCCCTGATACCTGTGTTTTTAGCATTATCCAATGTATTAGGAAAATCCCACTGACTTTTCCTTAGAAGTATATCCAGAATCTGACCGTTTCTGACACTTCCACTGATGCCACTGTAGTCTCAGCCCTCATATCTCTAATGTGGGCGACTGTAATAATCATGTCCTAACTAGTCTCCCTGCTTTCTTGTGCCCTTGCTTCTCTACAGTCTACTTTAACAAGCAGTCAATGATCTTCTAGAAATTTAAGTCACAGGGTGTCATTTCTATGTTCAAAATGCTCCAATGACTTCCTCATTTTCCTTAGAATTAAAGCTTAGCCCTTCAGTGGCCCATGAGGTCTCTCTCCTTCTAGCTTTTACCCCCTGGACCTCATGCACTGCTGCTTCCACTTCCACCCGCTCCGCTGGGCCCACAACAGCCTCTTCCCTGCTCCTCCACAATGCCAGGCACGTTGCTGTGGACTTTGAAATGGCTGTGCCCTCTGCCTGGGAAGCTCCTCTCAGACAGTCACATTACCAAACCCCTACTGCCTTCCAGTCTCTGCCCAAATATCAACTTCGCAGTGTGGCTTAGCTACACCAATTTGTTTAAAACTACACTCTCCTGGTCCCTCCGCCCTGCAGTCCCAGTCCCTCTTACTGAGCTCTGTTTTCATCCCTGTAGAATGCTAGCCTTCTATTGCACCATAACATTTCCTTTCTTATAATGTTTACTTTCTGCACCCCTCAACACCCCACCCAATTCCATGCCTAGCAGGAGAAAGTCATCTTCCCCAGGGCAGGAGTGGGCTGTTTTATTAATGGGTGTATCCCTGTCCTGTGCTAGGCATCCAGTAAGCCATTGAAAAACATTGTTGAATGAATGAAGGAAGTTCCAAGAAATACTTGTACCTTTCTCATGATAGGTTGCTTCTATTGTCATTAACATTTATGCCCTAGATAAAATGTTTCTAAAATTGTTGAATAAACTGAAATTTTGTGCTATACTAGTTAAAAGTCAGTCTCCAATTTTGTTATGCTATTAATTTTTATGAACATTTTTGGGCAAATAAAACATTCTATCCAACATTGTTTGAAATATTATAAATCCAAATTAGCAGAGTCCAAATTAATGAATTCTTAACCATATATGAGAAACAATGAACTTTTTTTTTTTTCTTTTTTTTTTGAGACGGGGTCTTGCTCTGCCACCCAGGCTGGAGTGCCGTGGCACGATCTCGGCTCACTGCAACCTCTGCCTCCCAGGTTCAAGCGATTCTCCTGCCTCAGCCTCTTGAATAGCTAGAATTACAGGTGCCCACCACCACGCCTGGCTAATTTTAATACTTTTAGTAGAGACAGGGTTTCGCCATGTTGGCTAGGCTGATCTCAAACTGCTGACCTGAGGTGGTCTGCCCATCTCGGCCTCCCAAAGTGCTGGAATTACAGGCATGAGCCACCATACCTGGCCACAATGAACTTTTTAGAAGAAAGATTTAAACAAATGTATGAAAGTTGGTGGTATTTACATTTTAATATTAAGGTATTTTTTCTGATTATAAAATAAATGCTATTATAAAAAATCAAAATAAATAATAATTATATATTAAATAACTCATTAACCCCACATCCATTACCAATTTTGATTGCTTCTTTTCAGTCTTATTTATAGGAATGTTTTCTGTGTGTGTATGCATACATATGTACTTATGTGTGTATGTATGTATAGACAGCACATAACGGATCATATTTATATATTCAATATTATATTCGGCTTGCTTTATTTTACATTATATAATACGCATTTTCTAGTCCATTAAAATTCTTTGAGGTCTACTTTTTGTGGTTGTGACATTTATAGTACAATAACATATCATCTATTTCCTTATGGATGGGCATTTTTACTTTGAATATTTTGCCATTGTAACTGTGTGCCATCTCTCACTGTGTACACCTCTCTGTGTATATCTTTGCCCACTTCTTTAATTATTTCCTTAACTCTTAAATGCTTAACACACTTAAATGTGGAATTTCTAAGCCAAAGGGATTTTAATTAAAGTTCCTAACACATATTACCAAAGTGCTTTCCAGAAAATAGTACCAATATGTACTTTCACCAGGACTCCATATAAAACAGCATTGTTAATTTTATAAATTAGCATTTCTTTATTTATATTTCTTCTTCTTAGAATTTTCTGTTCATGCCTATTGCCCCTATTTTTGTTTCTGTAAGGCTATCTTTATATTATTCCTATTGAATTATGTGAATTCTTTTAAATTAGGGATATTAATTCTTTCTCTGTTTCATGTCTTTAAAACCTGATGGCAATATTCAGGTCAAAGTGGGGGCAAATATGGCCCTAGAAGGCATATTTATATTTGATGTAGCTCTAATTGCTAAGCTTTATTATTAATTACTAAATTGTCATGCAGGTGCAGCAGTATTAATGTGCATTTCATGCTAATAATAGTGGTATAATTCCAAGATGTATAGTGTGTAAATCAGTTTGTTAAACTTACCACAGAGTAGAAATGGTATCCAAGAAAGATGGTATATTGCTGCCCACTGAAGGTATGATTTAATGCTAATAACCGTATTTTTATGGATTACACGATGGTTAACCAAAAGCTTTAATACACATGTAGAGATGACAAAGAATGGTAAATAGGAAGTTTACAACTTTGTAACAGGAAAGCTTACTATGTTTTTACAGGGAAAATAACTAAACCTACCTGTTGGTATTAGTTACAATAGGTCCTGCTTTTCCTTCTGGGGCCACAGTGATGAAGACTGTGCCACACTGATATACAATGTCCACATACACATAGCCAAAGCCAGTCAGGAACACAACCTGCAGAAAGAGTATTCAAAATCTAATTAAAAAGAAATAAGAAACACTACTAAGTGGCTTGACTTCAAATGTCTCCAGGTCTGATACAATACCACAAACAATTCCTGGTTATATTTCTTTATATCCATGTGGACAGGCTATTTAGTTGACTTGAAAAAAAAAGAAACAAAAAATCAAATCCAGATTTTTCAATATTCAGCTGTAAGGTTCATAGAAAAAAATGATGGATGATGGGGCATGAGTGTCTTCATTCTCTGCTTCTTTGGAATTGGCAAGTAACTGTGTGGGCTGGAGTCCAGACATGGGGCCCGCTTTATGTGTGCATATGAATCGTTGTGGAAAAAAACCTAAAACTCGGGACTTGAAGTGCAATGTGCAAACAACTTTCACGCTCTTGGGTGTTGACTCACTATGATGGGGGTGTGTCCTTCTGGGCTGGGGACACAAAACATACCTCAAAACTCACCTAAAAACATACCACAATCCCTCCAAGGTCTTTCACATAACTTGTAACAAGAAAGTTAGATAAGTTATTTTGCTCAGGGTAAAAAATTAATTTTTCTACCATGGGAAGGTAGACTAAGACCTAAAAAATGTTCTACCTCAGGATCCAGGTGCCAGGAAGCAGAACAAATACGCTTTCAGCATTAAACAGCGAGCTGCTTAAATGGGCAAATATTTGAAAACAGCACAGGGCTATTTTAAAAAAAACTCCAAGAACACCATGTTCATAGCCAGGATTATCTGAGGGTAGGGGCAAAAACTCCTTATGCTTTGGGAAGGTTGCTTCTAACAATTTGCAGTATCAATTCAGTCCAAGTCTGGGCCCTTTGTTATTGTTAGGACAGCAAATAAAAGCAGACAGACTGAAAATTCCTGGATGAAGAAACAAAGGTAGGCTCTTGTTTGACCAATAATGAATGTGTTCTAATTTTGATCACACGAAGAAGCACCAGACAGAGTATCCACAGAACCACAGGAGAAAGTCACAGACTCACATTTGGAAGCAACTTCAAGGTCATGGGGCTTCTTTGTCATGCACTTCAGAAATTCAGAATTTCTGACCATCTTCGGCATCTAGGTTACCTGGATGTCATCTCTGCCTCCTCCCTCTTCTCCTTTCTGCAGCCCAGCCCCTCCAGCTCTGCCTGGTTCCTCCACTGCTATCTTCTTTTTCTTTCTATAGCCTCTGCTTTAGCCAATGCCCTTGTCTGCGACTCAACGCTCACAAGTCTAGAATGTACTTTTCCCCATACAAGTCCTTTCAAAAGCCTATATGTCCTTGTGCATACAGCTTACAGGATAGCTTACTCCATAAAGCTATTCTTTAATTTTTCTATTCCCTTCTGGATTGACACCTATTTCCACATTCTAAAAAAAACTTTAACCATATTTCTATTTGACCACAAATTTTATTGTCTGTACTAGTTACTTGTTTATGTGCCTGACCTAATTACTAGATTGTAAACTTCTTGACAGCAGAAATAGAGTCCATTTGTTGTATCTGTTTTCTCTATGAACATGTTTTCCAAATGGATTGTTTTGCAAAAATATGTTTCAAAAGTCTCTGTATTCTGAATTTGCCCTATTTATTCCATGGTAAAAATTAAAACTTACAATAAAATTTGAAAATAAAACCTAACTAATGGCTTAAAAATGGCTCAGCTCATGAATCTACAACAAAAGACATACTCTTTAAGAAATATTCCCATTTATAAATGCCATCCCTTTGTATGATATATAAGGTAAATCAATTGCTTTTATTAGGTTGAAAGATACGAAATTATCCATTCAGTAGAAACCTTTTTAAGGCCCATGCTCCCGTCTCACATTCCTCTTTCTAAGCCACCTTCCATAACTTCAGGGCCCCTTAGAGGAGAGAGGGTGGGGGTGTGAATTGAGAAATATTTACTGCTCTGCTCATTCTCCAAGTGATATTCAGGCATTATGAAATGAGGATACTTATACTTTCTAAGATAATAAACCTAAGGTAAGCTGATGGTTTCTGTTAGATGACCCAAGGGCCTTCTGAAGGCAAATTAACCTGTGAACTCTTGCTGTACATCTTCTGGCCAAAAGTCTAGACTCTGGAGGAAAATTTTTGCTTGGTATCTCTTTCACTCACTGCTAAGAGTGAAAGAAACACAGACTTTAGTTCTTGGAGCCTTTAGTTCTTCTCACTTTTAGAGAAACAACTCACACCTGAGCTGTTAGTTGAGTCTACAGGTTCATGTTAGGTACCTGATAGAGGAATTAGGCATCTATATCCAGGTTCCCCACAAGCCCAAAGTAAATCCTTATCTTGGTCTAATAGTTTGAATAATCAATTACCTGACAAACACTTTAATTATCTACAAATAATTAGTCACTGAATCAGGCACAGAGAAGATACAATCCTACCCTTGCATTGCTCACTGCCCAGTTGGTGAAAAAGACAAGTACACAAACAATGAGGCGATAACTAACATTTCCAGAGCAGAAGTGTATAAAATGCTTTTCCCTCTCAGTGTATTCACCATCATGGACTCTGCGTAAGCTCCATGAGGGCACACTGGTTTTGTGTCTGTTTTCTTTATTACTTACAACCAGTGCCGGGTACTCAAAAAAGACAAGGCAGATGATCTGAACAGACATCTTCTCAATGTGGCTTCTGCTGTACTGACTTCTAATGTCCACCCATGTCTAGCTCTTCTCTCCTTCTGGGAACAGAGTAGGATTATACTTCCTGTAACCCCTGCAGTTAGATATGGTCTTATGACTAGTTTTGGCCAATGGGCTAAAGGCAGAATTGACATGTATTATTTCTAGAGAATAAATAAAGGTTTTATGTTCCACAGCTCAGTGGTGGGGCAAATCTGGTCCACTTCCTGCTACTGTGAATAAGGCTTTACTGGAACATGGCTCATTTACTTACATTTATCTCTGTCTAATGAGAAGTTGGGAAAATGTATGGACTGCAAAGCCTAAAATATTTACAATTCAGATCTTAAAAAAATATTTGTTGACTCCTGCTCTAGATAGCTGTAGAAGACTGTTGCATTATCAATGAATTGTACATCCCAGTATCCATGTCCTTGTGTAGTACCTTCCCATACTGACGTTGGGCTTGGCTGTGTGACTTTCTTCAGCTAACATGACATTAGCAAAAAAGCAGCTTGCTACAGCTTGCTCATTGGGGCTTTCCCACTTGCCACCCTGTGAGGAAGCCTGCACTAGCCTCTGTAAGGAGGACAGACAACATGGTGAGGGAGATGCCCAGACTTCCCAGCTGAACCCATCCCTCAGCCAGCTCTCCAGCTGAATGCAGATGCCTGAGTGATCTCAGACTTATCATTCAGAAAAGTCACCTGGACAATTCCTCAGAATCATGAGAAGTTGTTAATCATTCTTCTTTTAAACCAGTAGGTTTTGGGGTGGTTAGTTACAAGGGGGAAGATATGAGATAATGGACTTTCCATCAACCTGGGTCCCTGAGTGACCATGTGGCACAGAACATTTGAGGATACACACTAGGCATGTAGCATGAACAAGAAGTAAGTTCTAGGCTTATGTATGACAGGCAGCATAACTGAGTTTATACTATTAATATAGATATTGGTGACAGAAGTAGTGTTCTAACAAAATACTGATGTATGAGACCCTGGCTTAATGGTCAGACAGTAGTAATTGATATTTAAAGCTATAAAAATGGGCATATATGTTTTGAAGTGGTAAGACATTTAGTAAAACTGTTGCTTGAGATGACTGGGAGGTATATCATAAAATGATAAATCTGTAGCTCTAGAAGATGAAGTCTGAAAACCAAACATCAGTAATGTTGCATCAGCTGCTGTCGCCTGTGTCTGGAACACTACTGTGTTTTGCTTTATGAAGAGATGAGCTCAGGAAAGAATTGGCCAGGTTGCAAATAAAAATCAAAGATAACAGATTCCGGAAATTCAGAACCTTGAAAGTTAGAATTTTTTTTCCTTTAGACGCAGTCTCACTCTGTTGCGCAGGCTGGGTGCAGTGGCACAGTCTCGGCTCACTGCACTCTGCCTCCCAGGTTTAAGCAATTCTCTGCCTCAGCCTCCCGAGTAGCTGGGATTACAGGTGCACGCCACCACACCTGGCTAATTTTTTGTATTTTTAGTAGAGATAGGGTTTCACCATCTTGGCCAGGCTGGTCTTGAACTCCTGACCTCCTGATCCACTTGCCTCAGCCTCCCAAAGTCCTGAGACTACAGGCGTGAGCCACCAAGCCCAGCCCAAAGTTAGAAATATTTTTAAACCTGCTATGGTCTGAATGTTTGTGTTCCCCCAAAATTCATATGCTGAAATTCTAGTACCCAAAGGTGATGATATTAGAAGGCAGGGCCTTTGGGATGTAATTAGTATTCTAAAAGAAACCCGAGGAAGCCCCTCATTCCTTTCATCTTGTGAGGTTACAGTGAAAAGACCGTCATCCACGAACTAGGAAGTGAGTCCTCACCAGATACCGAATCTGACAGTTCCTTGATGTTGGAATTCGTAGACTGCAGAACTGTGACAGTAAGTTTCTGTTATTTATAAACTACCAGTTTGAGGTATTTTGTTACGGCAGCATGAACAGACTAAGATAAAACCTGAAACAGCAAGGTCTAAAATTAGAAAACCTCTAAACACAAAGGCAGATTAACACTCAGCCTTAGGACTGACTATAGTCAACATACTTACTATTAAAACTTCTTTTTTTTTTTCCTCCTGTAGAAAATTTTAATTGAATCAAAATTTTTTTCAGTTCTGTGTGTGTGTGTGTGTGTGTGTGTGTGTGTGTGTGTGTGTGTGTGTTTTATTTTTTATTTCATTTTAGGTTTTGGGGTACATGTGAAGAACATGCAAGACTGTTGCATTAAAAAACTTCTTAACTGTTGACTTGGAAAAAAATGTAGATCAAGGGTATAACTTTCCTATAGAAGCTCTCTTAAATCCAGAGAGGAAGGAAGCAGGTTAGCAAAGAAATGTGTCTTAAGGTCTATGGA